GGGCATGAGGGAGAGCACACAGGAGGAGATTGGGCTGGGGGAGCTGAGTGCAGCTGGGTTCCTTGCCATGCTGCGGGTGCTGGCAGGTGAGAGGCCCATCTTTGGCAGCGAGGAGACCTTCCAGGCGGTGGAATGTGCTGCCTTCCTGCAGGTGAAGTCCTTAGCCAAGTACTTGATCCACTCCATCAACTCTGACAACTGCATCCTGCTGTACCAAGCTGCTGCCATATTCGGCCTCCTGGATCTCTTCCACTGCGCTGCGCTCTACATCAGGGACAGCTACGCTGAGCTGGAGGAGTACCTGGACTGCCTCTCTGATGACCTACTGGCCTATGTGGAAGCCCTCCTACCCAGCACCTTTGTGGCAGTGGGAGCCCACACACCCACCTTTGAGTTCTTGGAGGACCTCTCCAGGACCATCTGCTACCTGGACGAGGAGACCAACACATGGAGGACCCTCTCCTGCCTTCCACTGAGTGCCAGCACATTCCTAGCCGGCATGGCAACCATGGATAATAAGATCTACATTGTGGGTGGTGTCTACGGAGCCAACAAGCAGGTGGTAGAGAGCAGTTTCTGCTACGATGCTGATGCCAACGCCTGGAGTGAGTTCCCCAGCCCTCACCAGCTGCGCTACGATGTCAGGCTGGTGGGCCATGAGGGCTACCTCTACGCCATCGGTGGCGAGTACGAGAAGATCTCACTCAAGTCCGTGGAGAGGTATGACCTGGCCTCCAGCACCTGGACGTTCGTCTCTGACCTGCCGCAACCAAGCACAGCAGCACCCTGTGCCCAAGCCTTGGGGCAGATCTTCGTTTGCTTGTGGCAGCCACTGGACACCACTGTCATCTATGAGTATGAGACCCAGCAAGACGCGTGGCTTCCCATCACCGAGCTCAAGCGGCACCAGAGCTATGGGCACTGCATGGTGGCCCACCGTGACAACCTCTACGTCATGCGCAATGGGCCCTACGACGACTTCTTGCGTTGTGTCATCGACTGCTTCAATCTGACATCTCGGCAGTGGAGCGCCCTGCCCGGGCAGTTCATGAACAGCAAGGGAGCTCTCTTCACCGCTGTCGTCAGGGGTGACACCATCTACACCGTCAACAAGATGCTGACACTCCTCTACTCTGTGGAAGAGGAGACCTGGAAGCAGAAGAAGGAGCGGGCAGGTTTCCCACGCAGTGGCTCCCTGCAGACCTTCCTCCTGCGGCTGCCAAGACGTGACCACGACATCGCGACGTAGCTGGTCCCCCATCCCATGTCAGGGTGCTCTCCTTGCACATGGCCTTAGCTCTGCACTCACTGCTCCCCATGGCTCCTCTCCTCCTCCACGGAGCTGTGCTCAGGTCCAGGGATGCATCATGTTGGACCTTTGAAGTGACAGTAGACCCTGCCAGAGGGAAAGGGCAGCTGCTGTCTGCCTCTTCCTGCCCTGCATGGGCACGAAGTCCTGTCAGCCATGAGCTCACAAGCCAGATGTGTGCAGGACATTGTGGCTTCTGCAGAGGACAGATACCACAGAGAAGCAAACACGGGATTTATTTATTTTGACTGCACTATGAGGGTGTGCAGCATTCCACCTCCTCTCTTCCTTGACAGGAAATTGTTCATTACATGCCAGAATTAAAAGGAAAGCTACAGAAAAGCTACTTATTACTGTGTTCTTCATTATTTTTGGGTTTGGGGTTTTCTTCTCCCATGCTTCTGAAGGAAAATACCTTCTAATGGGGATCTGTGTCAGGACTCGCTTCTGCCCCTGAATGCTTTTTCAGCTGTGGCTCAGTTTCAGAGCCTTACGTGGGAGTGCGGTTCCCACAGAGCCCCGCACTCCCCTGGGAATTCTCTGTGGCTGCAGCGGGGTCCTGGGAGGAGGAGGGGAGATGGGAAGTGAAGGAAAGCATCTCCTGGGTATCAGGTGCTTAATGTGCCAAGCGTTTTCTGGGACCTGGGAACCATCAATTGACCCACCCCCAGGCCCTAGCACAGACCCAACAGAGTGGCAAGTCCTGCCTCTCACCAGAGACTTGTTTGAGCCAAGTCAGGGTCTTTTGAGGACATGGCAAAGCTTGGAACTACAGAGAGTGCCAAAAGGGAATGAGGGGGAGGGAGCCATTACATGGTGATACCAGGCTGGCAGAGCTCCGCAACCAGAGGAGCTGCTCCCATTAGATCCCACCACCTGGTGTTGAGGGTTCACAGCCCTCAACACCAGCTCAGAGCTCCCCTTTGTCACCACAGGGACCAGGGCAACAGCAAACCCAGACCCCAGCTCAGCTGGTTTCCCATCCATGGGGCAGGCTTTGGGCTGCCTGTGCTGTCCAGGCTGGGAAGGAGCGGAAGGGATACCAGCTGGGATGCCTCAAATACCTCCACTGCTGATCCTCGCCAAGTTCTCAGCATTTTCAAAACAGTTCCTGCATTTGAGAATAAACCCACTCAATGCAGCTGCAAACCAAAACAAACCAGAAAACCCCAGCTTGCACCCACAGCCAGTTGGAAAACCACTGGATGCGCCTTGTCCCCATTTGCTCTCTGCCACTGGGCCAGGCCACCACCCCGATGTCACCCATGAGGGGACTGCTGCCGGTGGAGCTGCAGGTCTGGCGGTGGCACAGGGGAGGCAGGGGACACCGACAGACCTGTCCCAGCCCTGCACTGTGGGCATTGTGAGCTGAGCAGCATTGCATTCCCCAGGTGGAATATTACAGCAACCAATCAAATCAAATCAAATCAAATCAAATCAAATCAAATCAAATCAAATCAAATCAAATCAAATCAAATCAAATCAAATCAAATCAAATCAAATCAAATCAAATCAAATCAAATCAAATCAAATCAAATCAAATCATTGTCCCCTTCCCAGATAAAGCCAACTAACATTTCACGTTGTCTTCTCCTGAGAGCAGCACATAGAAACATGTTGCTTTAAAACAATTTTAAGTTGAACAAACAGTTTAAACATCCATTAAAACGAAGTTAAAATAATTCTGTTACTAAAATATTTATGTTGGGCTCCTGTGGCCAACCCTGGACCACAGAACTTGGCAGGCTCACTCCTTCCCTCCAGCTCCGACATCAAGTGATACAACCTCCTCCCCACCTCCACATGCTGCTTCTTGACAGTTCAGGGGTTTACAAAGGTATTTGTCAACAAAATGCAAAAGGTTTTAAGATTTTAAGTGTAGCACTTGAGGGAAAGTGTGAGTCTTGGCAGGCAGCTGAGTATGGCAGGGATGCTCCCAAAAGCCATTTGTTGCATCCATCAATCCAGACTGTGATCAAGAAAGTAAGATAAAATAATTTTAGAGAGGAAAAAGAATACATTTCTTACCTCTGCAAGAAACAATCCAAGATCCAGGACCAAGCAAACTACTAAGGAGGGTGAGAAGCTGCTCAGCCTTTGGACAGTGAGTTGGCACAATGCTGCCAGCGTGCTTTGCTTCACCAGAATTCAGCACCACTGGCTCCAGCACAGCACCCTTATCTTCCCCTTTCCATCCTCACGGTGTTTGCTTCGCCAAAGACCACAGTTTGAGGCGACGTGATCTGCCTAATCACAGTTTAACCTTTTGCAAGTCTCGTTTTTAAGGTGACATCATCTTGGCAAGGGGGAATGTAAGGAAAAGTTGTCTGTAGATGGACTTGCCTTATAAGGGCTGTATCAAAAATAAAAGCTTGTATAACCAAGGGAAAGCAGGAGGAAAAACAGGGCTGGGAGTTCCAAGAAGAGCCTGTGAGCTCCCCAGGAATATCTCCCTAGGATATACAGGGTGCCACATTTTCCATTTCAATGCCATGAAAGAAGAGCAGGAATAAAGCATCCTTGGGGATGGATGGGTCAACTCCCCCAAAACCTGGATGCCAAATTTCCTTGTTGTATCCAGGCAAGAATTAAGGCAGCCATGGAGAGCTGTACCTTCCTGTTGCTGTCTGGCACCCACCTGGAGATCCAGGGAGAAGGGACAGTGTTTTACCTTGATGGCAGCACATTGCACTGGGAGATTGTTTGGAAGGGTACAATGGAAAATGGTACTAATACAACTACGGATTTTCTCTGCTGGGTTGTGCCAGTTGGCATCCTGACAGAAAGAGACAAACATGTTGCAGAATAATGCCTCCAAGCATCTTTACTCAAAGAAATTACATCTGTATCTAATTCACAGGAAAATGACATACTTTATGTGAAAACACTGTCCACTGTTCCACTGCCAAGCCAAGACACACATCCTGTACAGTGATCTGAATCTCCTATTCTCTGTCCTTCAGTTACATACAGAAATTCCCTTGGGCATCCAGATGTTCTTGATGCTGACACTCATGCTTCACTTCATTTGGAGCCACTGTCTTCACAGTTTAGGGAAGCATCCCCTGAATTTTCCTGATTTGGGCAGAGCATGAGGGCAGTGAGCAGTTCCCCATCTCTCTGTTTTGATTTCATGAAGTTGCCTGAGGACAAAGCTTTGCCTTCACCATTTTTCATTGCACTGGATAAACCTCATGTATTTCAGAACAAGGGCAGCTTGTTTTCTTTCTTTACCCACATGGAACTGTGTATTTTTCTCACATTTCTGGTTTAAAAGGAGAAGCTAATGTGATCAAAGTGGATTTCCATTACAATATTCAACCATGACTAAGTCAGCTGAGACTCTTCCCAAGCCAGGACCAACACATGTTCTTGCAGGACCCTTCAGATTATAGGAAAACAATTTCTTCTGTTGATTTATATAATCTTTTAAGAATCCCCATTTGATTGTAGCTGAAAATATGACATCCATCACCCCAGGTGTAGGGAGAACATCGGTTTGGTTTGGGTTTTGCAAAAATCTAAGCCGAAGGCGGTTTGGATCTTCTTTCATCTAATCTGAACAGCTGAGATGATCAAGGGTGGGGATGTGTGGGTGAGGAGATAAACATTCCTGCTATGCAGTCAATGCCTGAATGACAAACACTCTTATGATGCATGTCCATAAAATGAGACACCAAGGCAGAGATGTGAAGTTGTGTGTCTGGTGCTTCCAGGGGTGGGGATGGAGCAGCAGAATAACCTGAGTCCTTCTGGTTTGGTGTGGAGAGAGGAAGCTGTGACTGCTCCAGGATGCTGCTCAGTGGGTTTTCATCACAAGCTCTTCCAGTGCCCTCTCTCTCTGATTCCCACAAAGCAAAAGAACTTCTTTGACTTCATTTTGCTGGAAGCCCATATCATTAAACTGAGCCAACAGATGCAAGAATTCAGCTGCCTGGAGGAAGAAGGAGGAGAGAAGAATGATGTTATCATGGATGGATATATCATGTGGTTGCAGCAAAAGCAGTGCTGTGGGACAAGGCTGCAGCCAGAAGATCTGGCTGGGTTGTATTGCTGTGACAGCAGATCAAGGGCACACATATCCCTGGTAGCATTAAAACTTCTTAAATAAGAAATATTTAATAAAGTCAGCCTCCAGTTTCACTGTTCTTTATAATGTTTTTATCAATTCCATGCAGTGTTTGCCTGTATGAAGAGAGCAGGGAATGGCAGTGAGCACAGCTGGAATTAATTTGTCCTGCTCCCCTGCTTTGCTCAGACTGGGTCCCAGCACCACAACATCACCCAGAGATGTGTTCTTAATAAATAAATCCTTCCCTGACACTGAGACCCAGGTGCCCTCCCACTGCCACTGCTCTAAGGAGTGATTACATGGCAATCCTACAGGCACTGGCATCCCGGCAAACACTGCCAGCCAGGATTTCATGCAGTTCTCCCCAGGCTCTTCATTACCACCACGAGGAGACTGATGATGGAGACAAATGGCCAGTTCTCCATGGTTCTCCTCCCCAGGGGTAGAAGGGAGACCTAGCAGGGCAGGAGAGAACATGAGTGCTGGTGGGCTCGGGATGCGATTCCCTGTGCAGGGGCTGAGTGAGCATCGTGCCACACAAGAGGGTGAGAAGAAAGGCAGAGAAGGTGTCCTCCCCCAGGGGTTCTTATGCTGACAGTGCCCTACAGGTCTGGCCCTCCATGAGGCAGCAGGAAGGCCTGTGGATGCAGAGGGAAGAGTGCAGCCCACTGAAAAAGAGCCTGGAGGACACAGCACAAAGGGCTGGGCTGTGTCATCCCATTCTGACCTTTTTCTCTGAGTACTGGAACATTTCCATGGCTTCCTCCACCTGCCCTTCCTCATAGCCCTGCTTCAGCAGCCAATCACAAGCACCCAGGTAGCTCAGGAACTGCAGAGGAAGACAGAAAGGTTAATCCAGCCTTGCAGGCATGGGCAGCAAGGCCAGTCAGGAGCCCCCTTGCCACCTCCCAGGGACACAGCATGTGGGGTGCATGAGCCACCACCATCTTGCCAGTTCCTGCTCAGCCAGGGTGGTCTGTCTGCAGGATTCCCAGTGGGAGACAACATCTTGATCCCCCTTCACCCTCCCAGGGTGGGAATGGAAACAAGGAGCTAACCAAACGTGAACATCTGAGATGCAGAGAGATGGCCTCCAGGCTGCAGGGTGAGGCAGAGCCTGTCCTGGTGGGATGACTTCGCTCAGCTGACCCCGCATCCCTTTGATGCGCTGGGGTTCAGGCACCCGTGGATTTGCTCCAGGGTCCAAGTGCAAACCTCCCACAGGGGAGACCTGTGTGCTGTCATTACTGAAAGTAAACAGTTATTTTTGGCTTTCCTCGTTGTTCTTGGAGTGCTGACAGCACAATTCCCAGCAGCATCTTTTAAAGACTGCGAGAATCACTCACTGTCCAAAAACATATGGGACAGGCAATAATAAATGAGCTATACAATAGCAGGGGGAATAAAAACATCCCACAGGTCTCTCCAAAGCTTCTTCATCCAAGGAGAAGCTGATTAATTTCTCCCCAGATTCAACAGCACACAGACCTCCACCCTCCCCAGCACTGCCATAGACAAGGAGAAGGACTCAGTGAAAGACCATAAAACATATGAAAAAGGAAGAAAGTCTCTCAAACATTGAGCTGATCTATTTTGGCTGAACAGCTGAGTAGGGATTTTCAGAAATGTCAGCCTTAAGAAGGCCAGTAACTCAGAAAGGAGACAGTCACTGGTCATTGGCATTCCTCACCTCACGTTATTTCCCTTGTTACCAGACAACCCCAGATCATTGCTGTATTTTCTTCCCCTGTTGTGGCAGAACAGCCACTCACCCACAGCATAACACAGATAGTCCTGGCAGCCTGGTCAAGCCCAGCATGAAACATGAAATCAGTGCCTTTGTTAACTCAATGTTTTCTATCACTAAATATATATCTATATATCTATATATCTATATATCTATATATATCTATATATCTATATATATCTCCTCAAGATTAAACCAGAACAATTTTTTTAACACTGACCAGCTGCAGCCTTTGTTATGTCTCAGCTCATATGTCCATTGAGGGCTCCATGGATCAACAATGCATTTTGATCAATGCATGATCATTGATCAAAATGCAATGGTGCCTTTTTGGCCATGACATCCTACATGATGAACCTCTGGCACGCTGGGGCAACTAATCCTGCTTGAGCCTTGCAGAGAAGTTCTTCCACCAAAATTAGGAAAGCATTGCTTTTAAAGAAGGCTACAGAAGGCCTTGCCTTTTCTATTAGGGTGAGTTCTGCCAGTTTAACTTGACACTGCAAGGAAGTTGAACAATTTTTGGCTACCATCTGGTACTTCCATCAATCCTCACAGTTGAAGTAGTCATTCCCACACATCGAAGCCGCAGGTATCACCAGCAAGCAATAAAGAGCACAGGTCTTCTTTTTAACTTCAGCTGGAACATATTTTCCAGGAAGATTTAGACTAACTTGGTAGTGTGGTACTCGTAAAAGATGCATGAAGGGTCAGGCTTTATCTTGGCTGCATTTGGCATAAATGGGAAAGATGGGAAGTGCTGGTGAAGAAGGCATGGGATAGAAGGCAAATCTTGTCTTTTGGTGCAGTAATCCCTTCTCCAAGGGAATGGGAGTCCTGGTGTTTATACAGAAGGGAGCAGGCTGTACCCACCTCCGCTTTTAATAAGATGCACTGTTCCTTCATTTTGAAGCCAGCAGTTGCTGCAAGACACCCTCGCATGGCTCTGTGAAACAACATGGGCTGGCCTCTGCCCATCTCTCTGTGCCTAGATGAAACCTCTATGGATCGAAGACATAAAGCTTCCCTTGTCACCTCAGCTCGCCTGAAACTCCAGCAAGCTCTGGGGAGCTGGTCCAGCCAGGGTGAGTAAGGAGGGGGCCGGAAGCTGCAGGATGACTCAGGCACAGAGCAGCTCTGTGCACTGCTGGCCCAGGCAGCAGAGGCAGCTCCCAGGGGAATGGGAAGGAGACTGCCAGCTGGCAGCAGCTGCTCGGTGCTCTGCCTGCTCATGCCCTGCCAGGATCTGCTCCTTCTCCCTGGCTTGACAGTCCCATGGATATCCCTCTTGCTCAGCCGTGATTAAGACCCTTCTGTCTCTGCAAGAACTACTTGGATAATTTAGCCCTAAAGTCCTCTGCTGGGATGAGCAGGTCCACCCCAAAATTTGCCAAGGGAGTCAGAGCCAGCAGCCTCCCTTATGTCATGGATGCTCTGAGCTCACCTGGACCTTTCTGACATTCATCTGAAACATTGGGAATGAAGATGCAGCACAGCAGGCAGGGATGTACTCACATCCCAGGGGTAGGAAGAGGCTGCATGTTAAGTATTTTCAACAAATTTCAGGTTATTATAGAGGGTTCCTCAGGAAAAGAGCTCTGGGACTCTGCTGCAATGTTTGCATGGATTCCCTGCTTGCTCCAACACAGGGAAGTTGTGTTTTGGAGAGAGCCCAAACAAGTCTCCAAGGTATTCCTAGAGTCCCAGTCTGACAGGATGAGCCATGGCAATAATCACACAAATCCAACAGCTGGGAAAAATGATGTGCAAAAAGTTTCCATATAAGGGGGCAAAATTTGTACCTCAAAAGAACACAATGCTTCACACAACAGATTGAACAGATAACAAAGCCAGCCGTGATTATGCGCTGAAAAGCTGATGGCAATTCGTAGCCATTTTATTACAGCAAAAGTGTAATCTCATGGAAAATCCTGTCAGCTGTGGTCTGACACCAAAGGGGAAAGGCAAGGCCATCAAAAACCTACCCCAAAGAAGACAGCCATTCCTTTCTCCATGAAAATCAAGTTTTCCTTTAACAAAAGTTTCCCACAGTGCTATGCCAGTTTCACCAACCTGACTTAAGCTTTGCCTTCCTGTCTTCTGGAGGGTGAGGATGGCTTTCTGGGTGGGGTAGCCCAGGGCTATGACAGGCTCGATGAGGTCTCGCTCTTCTTGGCTTAGTGCAGAGAGCAGGTCAGCCGAGGAATCTGGCTGGGATCTGTGGCAGCTGAGAGGTTGTCCAGGCGTGGAGGCAGGGGGTAGGCAAGTGTAGGGGCTGAGGGACTGCAAAGGAAAAAACAGATGGTCTTACTGCTCCAGGTCATGGAATGAGGTGAAACAACACAGGTTGATGCAATGCTTCTGAATGCTGGTGGTTACCTTGCTCTCTCCAGAAAAGGAAAATTCCCATACAAGGAACATCAAATGGGCATCGAATGAGACTGGACTTAATTAAATCCAGGCTCAGCTATAGATACAGGTCAGAGAAGAATTCTTAGTGTGGGTGTTATACAAATACACACAGGCATTCAATCTTTCCTTAATTACTCCATGTCAAATGCAACTGTATATAAATAACCTGATCATTCATGTGTCTGATGGTTTTATTGCAAGTTTTCAGTAATTCACCTCCTAAATCTCTCAAGCAGCTGGATTAGATGCAATTTCTTAAAAGCAGGGTGCAATTCAGATTTAAGGTGACACAGTATTATTTATTCCATCCTTTCACATCACTGTCTCTATCACTGAATGATCTGTATTTTTAGTAGGACTATGAAGTTCAAAGTTTCCTAGAAAAGACAATGACTGTAAGGGGACATTTCCCTGTAAGCCCCGCTTATATCAGTTAGAAAGGGATAATGTAGGAAAAAGAGGACAAATCCCCCATATTTCACTCTTTTTTTAGTGCTTCAACTGAAAATCAGATTACACCCTGCTTAGGGAAAACGCCGATGTTTTGGACAGAGCAAGTAAATGTGCACCCAGAAAGCTTCTTTCAACCTCAGTGAAAAAATCAAACCCTTTGTTCACTTCTTGTGACAACTTCAGCAGTTCCTCATGGTTCCAGTGTTTCCAAAGCCCCATTTTGATTCCTTTTTGCTGGTTAGCCCCCACCAGATGAGACCAATTTGATGCCCTCCACCTCCCTCCTCTCTCAGCAATGAACAAAAGGCCACCAAAGGACGCTCCTCACCGGTACCGTGGGCTTGTGCTGCTTGATGGGAGGGATTGGCGTGACTGTGGCCGGAGGAGTTGGCCCAACTGTCCCCTGCTGGGACACGTCCAGATCTGGCCCGTATTTGACGCTGCGGTTGGTGCCAGGGCACTGGGGGAGCAGTCGCCGCACCGGGATCACTCTGCTCCCTGTGGCAGCTCTGTTCAAAGGATGCACCAAAGCAGCCAGCTTCCTCCTGGCAGCTTCCAGCTCATTCTTCATGTTGTTAAATATCACCATGGATCTTCTCTGCTTGCTGGGGTCTGGGCTGGCTGGGCTATGGACATTGTTCTCTGGCGAGGGCTCCAGCAAGCCGGGTGATGTCTTTGGTCGGGTCTGGTAAAAGCCATGGCGTGAAGACACACTTCTCGCAGAGCTTCTCCTCCTGGAGAGAAGCGTTTCATCCTTGTCATTCTCTTCCCAAGATGTTGAGGAGTACTCATCATCCGAGTACTCACCCTCCTCTGAGTGCCAGGTGTCGCTCTCGGTGTCGGACAGGACCGCCCTGCCCTTGGTGTGCCCGTAGGAGCTGTCAGCAGCGCTCAGGCTGATGGAGCGCCGCACAGCCCCGTCCCGACCCCGCCCTCCGTAGCTGTCGGCAGGGTCCACCAGCAGCAGCCAGCACGGGGGAGCCGTGGGGACAACTTCGGAGGTGACTCGATGGCGGGAGGTTTGCTGCTGAGAAGCCACCTCCACCCAGTACAGCACTTTCCTTTCCAGCGAGAAGTCGTGCTGCAGAAGAGTGAGAGACAGCTGGTGAGGACATATGAAACCAGACCACGTGGCATGGAGCAAATGCACTCCACGAGGCATTTTAAGGGCTGCAGTCTTCCCATATCAGCTCTTATTTGCCTGAGCATTAGGGCTGGCTGTAGGATTTGGCAGTGCCAGCCTCATCTCTATAGGGAATCCCCAAATTTATACTTAGAAACAGTCTATCTATGAAATCATTACTATTGTGAGTTGCACCTACAATTCTTTGGAAAAGTGTTTTATGCTTGAAGGTGTTTGTGTCATTTTGACTGTGGAAGGCAGGAGTGTGCAGGCATCCCAATTTTATGTAGCTGCAGAGAGGCACCACATCCAGCCACAAGCTGCCCCCGGGATGGTGGCAGAGTTTGTTTGTGGCCCTCATTAGCAGTGCTTGGCAGAGCCGCTCCATGGGCTCAGAAGCCACCAAGAGGGGAGATGCCACCTCGGGCAGAAGCAGAACCAGCCATGGGATTCTCTAGTGGCGCCAGGGTCTCGGCTGGTCCCCAAACAGAGTTGTCATTTCCACATAGTTCAGCTTAAAATATAAGTGTGTTTGTGACTCAAATCTGAGGGTTTTCCTGGAACAAACAAGCCTTGCCCGTCCCAGAGCTCTCCAAACAAGGTCTCCTCCTGACAGGCAGGCAAGTACATTCACAGCCCAGGAATGCTGTTTTTACTGTTCCTGCCACTTGGGTCAGCTGTGGACCCAAATCAGCCTCCCTGAGGAAAACACCCTCATGTCCCTCCATAAGGATCAGCCTGGACCAGCAGCTCAATGGCTTCATTTCAGAAGGGAGCATCAAATCATCCCCAAATAGGGAGAAACATGGGGTATTTATATAAACACTATCTATATGCTTCCAGCACAGGTAGTATTGCCTACTTATAGCTGGTAGATTTATCGGTAAATCTTTAATAAATATTATTAACAAATGAGTCAGTGGTAACTCCAAAGTAGCAAAGAACCCCAGAGCAGAGCCTGAACTTTGTCCTCCTATCCCAGAAAAACCTAACCCTCCTGCTTGGAAAGTATTTTTAGAAAGCAACCCCAAACCAACCCCATCATCACTGCCACACACAACAAATCGTTCTCACCTCCTCCCAATACTGCTTCAAACCAGCCAGTGAAGGGATCAGTTAGGAGGTTTCCCTTCCCTTCTTTCATGAGAACGCTGCTGACATCCCTTTGAGCATCCCCCAGCAGTGACCCAGGTGTGGACTCACCATGGTGCTCATGAGGATGTCAGTGCAGTCAGGGAGCTCAATGTCTGGGGCAGTGACTAAAGTGATTTCTTCCTCTGAACCCCCATTGAGGCTCATGGCCGTCCGGAAGGGAATTTCATCCAGGTAGTTCATTGCTGCTGCCTGATTTCTTGCTGCTGGAGGAAGGAAAACAGAAACTGTAAGAGGGAGGACTAGCACCTCTTAAGTTGGCTATTTCAAGTGCCAGCTGGGTAAAAACAGATTGGCAAAATCTTAGTTACCGACACCAGGAAGCTTTGTCTGAACTAACCTTTGCTATTCTCAGCTTGACCCAGCCAGACTTGACCATGCTTATGGCTTTCTTTGGCAGAGACCCTGAGCATTTTTCTCCTCCATGCTTGCCTTGCTGCTTCCCATCCCTCCTGTCTCTCCTTCTCCCTCTAGTGCCATTGCATGATGCCTTCCCCAAGCTGGGACTGAGCACTTTTTCCAGTTACAGAGGGAGAAAGCACAGCCAAGGAGGACACCTTGCAGGTCTCCCCTGCCTGTACAACCTGTGGTGACAGAGCTCATGCACATGGCCTCGTGCTGCTAAGCCATCACATGGAGCATCCCAAGGGAGCCGAGGTGAGGGCATCCCTTTGGGCACTGCAGCAGCTTACTGGGAGCCAGACAAGGAGGCATTAGGCAAGCTTGGGAATTTGGAGGATGTCAAACAAGCCACGTTTAAGATTAGCTTTTAGGAACCATGCATTCATTTTAACTGTGGTGATGGTTATAGATCAGGAATTGCAGGGGAGAGAAAAATTGCTGGTGAATTGCGAATGCTGTCAGGGAAAATATTACTGCAAGTGTAGCCATCAGATCTCTATGAATGTCTCAATTTACTAAAAAGCCATTACTTGCTGCATGAAGCCTTGAGTTTTCAGCTTCACAGTGATGACAGTGTGTAAAATCACTTCTTTAATAGATTATAAACTGTTAGGAGCTGGTAGCCAGTCTTCCACCCAGTTCTGGTGCTGGCAGCATGTGCCTGCTCATCCCAAAGTCCTCAGCACTCATCTTCAGATCACACAGTAAATATGTATGTGACATCCCTAAGTGCTTTTCCCAGTTATTTTTTTTCCTTTAAAAACAAACAGCTTCTATGACAACAAGAATAAACACTCCACTAAGAGGAAATATGCTGAAGAATATACACAAGGATGACAGAACTGCCTGTTTAAAGCAAAAATAAGAGTCTGTAATGGGAGATTGGGTTCAGGATAGTTTTGTGTGTTGACAAAGGACTCACAAAGAGCATCCAGGCCACAGAGATTGCCACAATCAACGAGCATAATCACTCACTGCAACTCTGCTCTGTTGTACCAGAATGACAACAGGGCTGTCACTTTGCCTGTTTATGTCAGGAGCCTTTAATACCTCTGCACAAGCAGAGCCTCTAACGAGCTTTGTGCTCCTGCACATGTCTTGCCACTAACATGCAGCACAGGCAACGTGTTGGGATCCCACATGGAGCCAGCCCATCTGCTCAGCTTAAGAGGGCTCAGCCTAAGGGACAATCCACGTCAGCAATGACAAAGGTGACGCCTGAAAACATCTGTAAGCAAAGCCACCTTCCCTCAACTTTCTGTTACTCCTTGAGCAGCTCCTGCATGCAAGGTGGACTGACCTCCCCTGCAGCTTGGGCTGTAAATTGGCTCTTCCCAAACTCCCAGGGTGCTGAGGAAAGCAGTGTCTCAGCATCTGTCACCCAGAATGGCTCCACTCAGGTTCAAATTATACTTTAAGGGATGCTGATGGGTAGTGAGTGTGTCTGAAGCCACAATGAAGAAAATATGAGATGATGGTACTGTACCTCGTTGTATTTCACTGCATAAATACTGTGCTTTAAGAGAGGCTCACACAAGTGTTAATTCCCAAAACTACAGTTTAGAAAACAAGAAGTACTTTGGGGCAGGAGCAATCACAATAAAAATGCTACTAGAAAAGGATAAAAGAGGGTCAGTCATAAATACCCACTCCCACCAGAAGGGAGTTACTACAAGGGCTCTGACCTCATGTTCTCCACACCAGCTCTGCCCACTTTCATATCGCAGACACCAGCCAGTGCATGAACCAGTTCACATCAGGAGAGGATGTGCCTAAACAGCAGGAGAAACAACTGCACCAGGACCAGGGGAGGAATAGGATACAAACTAATCTTGGAAGCTCACAGCCAACCTCTCTCTTCTTCTGGGCTACACTGTTTTTACAACTTAAAAACAGTGGGAAATATTATACTCAGAAAAATGGGAATCGAGTCTGAAGACACGCTTTTTCAGTTAATACCCTGTGTCCATGTATTTTATGAGTTGAGATTTTACACATTCCTCCCCATCTGTGGCTTCAACAACTTCCTCACTAAAGCTATTAAACATTTTAATGCAGATGTTGTTAGACAAGAACAAATACACAGAACATACCTAAAGGTAGATTCTCCCCTGGCATTTTCAAGCCCTATGTTTATTAGCAATGTGAAGCTGTCCTTACCGTCAGATGAACTCATGGAGATCTCTCCTCGCAGGGCAGGGAGAACAGGGCTGCTGCTTTGCAGTCTCCTTATCTACTGCTCAGCTCTTTAAATTCTTGCAGTGTCAGACAAGCAGCTGACTTGGACAGCTTTAAGATAATCGTAGCTTAAGCGGTTGGCCTGTTCCATCAGACATGCTGATGGGATAAGGAGCCTAATTGTTTAAGCAGAGCATCCTCTGGTCACTAAGCTGCCTGAACTGAAAGTGTTTGGTTTGTATTGGTTTTATGCAGTTGTTTTTATTTTTAAATTAGGCCTTGTGTGTTTTCATCACAGAAGACTCCCCAGGATCTGGCTCAGCCTTGGGTCTGGAGTAATGAGATGCTGGAAGTGACATTAGGAAGGGAGAATGTAGGGAAGAGCAAATCAGAACACCACCTGCAGAGGACTTCATGGCAATCTGTATTTTGGGGTGCTACAGGTGAGCAAGAATTGCAAAATTGTGCACTCATGTTCTATCAGGAATTACCAGTTTGTGTCTCTTACTGACAGAAACCAGCACAAAGGTTCAGCCAGGACACTATTAACATTACACCTAAGACCCAGGTACTGAATTTAGGCAATGCCACGCGTGAATTACGCACTGTTGTGACGCCAAGAGACAAAGCACTGGAAAGATTAACTTGATTCCCACACATTGGGGCTACGCAAGAATAAGGACTGCAGCTCTGGAAAGGTGCCACAGCAATCTGTGCAGAACAGCAAAGCTCCAAATCCATATGGCCTGTCAGAGTTACAAACAAACTGTCCAGAACATAGAAAGCTTTGACATCAGATGTCACCTCTGTCACCTTGCAGGAGGGAGAAGTTCCTTCACACAAACCTTTTCCCAGCAATTCTCTCCTCGTTAGAGTTATATTTGATGCAAAGTACCCAAACAAATCTCTCCCCTCGTGTGAAAATGCTTTAAACAAAAATCCATTTATCTCTATTTTTTCTGTAAAAAAAAAAAAACTTACAAAATAAAGCTGTGGTTTTTAATCAAATATTATAAATGTGATATGTCCCTATATAAAAATATCTATATAGTCTAAACACTTACAGTAAGTTAGACTTCAGAGTTTATTAGTTTTTTTTTCCAGCAGGCTTATTCATCAAATTTGTTTTTATTCACATGGCTGTCGGACCTATTTCACCACAACTGGGAATTTTTTCCATGTTTTGGTATCAGTTTTAGTCCACAAAAGTAAAATGTCAACAGCTGCTTTAATCAACCTTGAAAAACCCTGTCCTGTTTGTACTTCAGAATTCATTTAAACTTGTAATTGGTTTGTCTCTACACTCAAAAATACAGAAACTATTTTGACAGTGATGCTTGACATGCTTCATTTAAAAAGAAAAACATGTTTACTAATGATCTCTTTTTTTAAAAAATTTCTTAATTTCTGACGTTTTCATCATCCTTTATAAAGATAAAAGCCACTAAAAATAGGATGCTAATACTGGCACAAATACCACCATCAGCAATGTTCCTTTATTAAGATTAAGATTTAATAAGAACTTGCAGCCGGATTGTAATTCCACAGCATGAGAGGCCTGGAAGCTCCGGTCTTGCTCAGCTATCTCCCTGCACAGTCAATCAGCAAAAACAATTCTTAAACTTTTTTTCAAGACGTTGCAGTAAAGACATTCCAGTACCTGGCTGCCGAAAGAGAGGACGAGACTTCCTCTTTGGACCCTCATATTTACATATAATTATAATGAAGCAATCCTCCAACGTTGAAATAATTTATTACTAAATTATCTGACAGCAGTGGCCCAAGTGTCATTGGTGGGGAGACTTGGGAGAACCCATCCTGGAGGGATGCAGCTTCCTTCAGGGTGGTCAGCTGGCACCAAGTACTGATCCCATTCATGCCTTTAACAGAGAGAGCATTGTTTGAGAGGAGACCTGGGATTAGTTTGGTGGTAAGATTTACTGTATACCCACACAGAAGTTACAGATCAATACAAAACCCACAATACTTGTACTCTTAAACTTGTTTTTCAAAAGACAAATGTGAAAATTCAATGTTCTGGTGTTAAATGGGCATCTGTTGGATATGACTCAAGCAAGAAACTTGAAAAAACCAGAACAATCCATTGCATAACCATATTTGGAAGCTGACAAACCAAAAGGGGCACTGAATTTACATTTTCAAAAGACAGTACCCACAATCTCTGATGATAAAATACTTTCTTTGGGTTTACCTGATCTGGATTAGAGCTGCTACAGAATGTTCAGCTTGTAAGTAGTAGTCTCTGAAAGGCTGCAGCAAATGGACAAGTGGGAATTCAGCTGTGAAAACACAGATGCAGAAATTGTTCAATAATCAGAAAAATCTTCCATTCCAGTGAGTCTCAGAAGCCCCAAATTTGCAAAATCATTTGCTACTGCCCAGCTGTAACCTGACATCAGGTCCCTATGTAATATATGAAAGATTTACATGTTACACATCTCCTGGTCCATACCACAGATGTCAGAGGAAAGCCAGGACTAGCAAAACTTCCTGACTCCACCATCTAAAAAAGGGGAAAATATGGACACTGAATCTGAGTCACACTTACCAAAGCACCAGACTAAAGCACGTACTGGGTTCTGGAAGTTTTCAATCTATTCTGTTTATTCTCACTTCAGTTTAATCTACAACCTCTTCTTGCAAAACATTATGAAACCAGCTTGAGATGTGCTGCAGTCCATGTCGAAGAGCTCAACAGCTCCTCTTACACCACAGGTGTTAACAGCACTATGTTTATCCCCCATTCTCAGACAATAAATTACTCCAGTGAATGATTCCTTTCTCAACTAGATCTGTGCCTGCATTTCAAATCCAGTGTCTGTGAAATTGGGATGTGATGTGGAAAAACACTGTTAAGAACAGGATGCAGAATTTACCTGGATCTCCAAACAGCTTGGAATCAATTTCCAGTTTCTGCTGTAGTAGTTTTTCCCTTTCTTTCTTCTGTTTCTTTTCCATTTCCCTCTTCCTTTCCTCCTCCTGTTCTCCCTCCAGCATAACCCTTAATGCTCTTTCCTCAGCTTCATACAGTTCTGTGCGAGTTTTGAGCAACGTTTTGAGACTCTCCACCTGATTTTCAAATGCTTCATCTGCTGAAGGAGGTGGACAAACACCTGAACAAAAAGAGAAATTATTTTAAAATTCCAGATTCAGAAGGGGGTTTCATACCAGACTTGAGAGCATAGCTGGCAAATTCTCAGAAGAACATGAGCTTAACCTTGTTAATAGACAGAATTCTTACTAGAATAATCTTTCTTCTAGAAGGAGCTTGGAAACATAGGAACACAACCACTGAATTCAGCATTTTGTACCTATCCTTGTAATGAAGATCACAATGACATAAAAACACAGCTTTATGAAGCTAGCAAGTCAGCAAAGGGACCCCTCATCTTATTTCCCATGTGTGAAATTTAAAAAGTTTGGATCTATCTTGTAATGAACCTTTCCTGGCAGCAGCTTCTTTCCTCAGTTTCCGAAGCTTTTCCAACCCGCGCAGGACGTCCATCATCCTCTTTGTATCCGCTTGTTTCTTCCGGACTTCAGACAGGACACTGTCAGCAGCAGCCTTCAGCTCTCGTTCCTATGAAAGGAAGGCAAAAAAACAGATGAGATGTGTGAAATATCCCTCAAAGACAAGAATCAAGTGGTATTTTCAGAGGTTAGCAAAGCACTGGAGAGCAGAGTGACTTCACAGCAACAGCAACAAGTCAAGCCAGCTATCCAGCCTTGCCTTTTTATGAAAAAAAGGCTAAAACACCACAGACTTCAGAAAACAAAAAAGAATGCTGTAGGACTCATAAATCTGGGCCAAATCACAGAATCATGGAATTGTTAAGGTTAGAAAAGATCATCATGTCCATCTGTTAACCCAGCACCACCACCATGTTCACCACTCAACCATGTCCTCAAGTGCCACATCCACACATTTTTGAACACTTCCTAGATGATTTATAAATTATGAAAGCATGAGAGCCTTTAACCACAGAAATTTAGGGTAAATATTTTACAATAAACAGAAACCATCCTGATTCCACTGTTCTGCAATTAAGAACCGTGCCACAGTCTGACCACAGACCCTTCCTCAGCAGCTGCTCTGGACTATCCCAGCAGCAGACCAGCAGGAAGGGAACTCTTTAGCCAAAAACCATCAGAAAGGTGCTTACAGCACTTCCCAACAAGTCTAACTTGAGATGGTATTTTTTGCTTTGGAGATGTATTGCCTCCCTATGAGACCAAAAAGCTTGTAAACCACGAGCTTTAGAAGGATGAAAGCAGGAGGCAAGGCTGATGGATACTGAAACAGCTCTGACCACCACAGGGCAGCTGTGTGGACAGGCTGACACTTGGGACCAGAGAGGAAAATCTCCAGGAGTTCAGGAACAACTTCAACCCCAATTTCATGTCAAGGCCTAGAATACGAGGATGGCAAAACCGAAATGCCCACCAAGACTTCTAAGCAAGAAGCAGGGCTGCAGGCCTTGGAAACAACACGTCTCAGTATGTTGAAGTCTTCCAGCACCTCAGTGGCACCCACTGAAGCACAGGGGTCAAAGCCAAGTGCGGAGCAGGCACAGCCCGCCGTGACCCCGTTACCGGCAGGTCACCCCTGCTCCGCCGCGCTGTCCGGGAGCCCCGGGGAGAGGCAGGACTAGGCACTCGGGACCGTACCCGGTTCTTTTCCTCCACCTCCTGGATGCACTTAGCCCGCCACTGGTCGATCTTGGCCTCTCGCTCGGCGGCCCGGGCCGCCTCCTCCTCCTTGGCCGCCCTGGCTTCGTGCTTCCTCCTCTGCAGGCGCAGCCTCCTCTTCCTCGCCCTCTCGGCCTTCCTGCGCAGCGCCTCGCCGTACCCGGGCTCCCGCAGGGGCCGCACGACCTCCCGCAGCTCCCTCAGCGCCATCTCCGCCTCCTCCAGCGCCCGGGCCCAGCCCGGCTCGTCGCCCTTGTCCTCGCAGCGCCGCAGGGCCCGGCAGAGCTCTGTCACCCGGGCCACCCGCCCCAGCGCCGCCAGCGCCACGGCCCGGGCGCTGCTGGGGCTGGCGGCGGCGGGCGGCGGTGGCGGCGGGGGAGCAGCGCGGCGGCGGCCCAGGAACTGCGACAGCCACAGCTCATCCTGCTGCCGCTGCACCGCCTCCTCCTCGGCCGCTGCCCGCGGCGGGGCCGCCGCTAAGTAGGGGACGCCCGGCGGGAAGCGCGGTCCCCCCTCACCCGTCGGCGGCGGCAAGAAGAAAGGCGGGGGTGGCACCGGCCCGACCGCGAAGGGCGCTGGGCGGACGGCGGGGCCGGGGAAGGGCGACGGGAAGGCGCGGAAGGGCGGCGGGAGGCGGGAGGGGAACGGCGGCGGCTGCGCCATGATCCCGCCACAGCCCTCAGCGCGCCGCCATGATCCCGCCTCAGATCCCGCCTCAGCACCGCGCCACAGCGCCGCCTGGCGGCCGGGAGGACCCGCCCCGCCCCGCCCACCTCCCGCTCCAGTTGAAAGATTAAGTTCCAAAAACTACTCCTAAAACTTAAAATATGTGGGGATGGCGTTAGGGATGATAACTCTCCGCTGCTTGAATATTCGCTTTTATTCAAACGCCAGAGGTGAAGTACAAACTGTAGTTACACGGCATTTTTGTTTCCTTAAAAACAGTTCTTGGTTACAGAATTCCAAACAACTTTCAAAACTAAGTTGTTGAACAGTTTCACCTAAAATGTGGTGTTTTTTTCTATCTGTTTAAAAAAGGATTTGAATTAAAGGACTCAGAATTAAAAGCTGTTACAGGTTTTCACTCTACAAAAAGGAAAGTGAGGATGCAGTTACAGATAGTTCACCACAGATTCCCATTTTGAGGGGCCCAAGCTTCTAGAAATATCTTCAACTCCAAATGCAGCTTTTTCTGAACCATTAGTGGGTAATTTAACCTGAAAAAAATGTGAAAGCCCACGGAAAGTATCTGTTGCACCTGGCTACAACTGCATGTCA